TGGATCCTGAGAAGATCTGGGGAGTGTGGCAGAGGGGCCAAGGGGCCTGCATCAGCAGAGGGTCCTCAAGGGACATGGAGCTACAACCATTTACCCACTCATATGGAGGTACTTCAGTATCCTAACCACTAGTACAACTGAAGCTGTTTGTTAGTGTCTAGGTGTTGGCCCTAGGCCCAGGGGGACAAATGTGGTTTGAGGCCCCTGACTTTCCTACAGTCTAGAGTCATTGGGATACACTGGGTTAGAGCTGAGCCTGCTGAGGGAATAGTGGACTCCTTACACACAGCTATGTACTCTCCCTACACCCCAGTGGACTCCTCAGTGTAGGGGTCCTGAGTGGACCTTTAGAATTTCTGTTTTGGCTGAATCAGTGCTCTGGCTTGGGCATAGGGGCAGGTGCTGGTGTACTTGGGGTTGTTACTTGCCAGAGAAAAATGAGCTAGAGGCAACCAAAGGTCAAAATAAAAGTCAAGATCCACTCAAAGGGTCAATTTCTAGGGAAAAGATGGAGAGCACATACAGGAAATGTGGGTCAGAACCAATACCAAGGGACAGGTCCCAGGGCCTGAGAACCTCCTATGATGTGTCAGGTGCAAACCCTACAGGCAGGTCTTAAGTGAGGAACTGTTTTGGGCTGACCTTTTGTCAGTGCTGCCAGACCCCTGGGGACAGTTAGGATGAGACTGCAAAAAGTCCACACTGGCCAAGTCAAAGGCAAGCCTGTCTGTCACTGATGAGTAAACACAGGCTGTCCCAGTTAGAAGCATAAATGACTACCAAACTGGTTCACTGACAACAGATTCCTAATGGACAATTAGGTAACAGTCAAGAGTAGCTTCAGGAAGGCTAGTATTCAGGGGGACATGGTGGAAAGAGGATCTAAGTGGGACTTAGGAGCTCGCTTCCTCTCTAAGCTCTGCTGTTAAAAGGCTATATGACCTCAGATGAGTCACTGCCCATCTCTAGGCCACATTTTCTCCACCTGTGAAATGAGGGCTGGAGACCTGGCAAGAATCTCTGAGGTAGAGATCATGACCAGAGGAAGAGCCATTCCTGAATGAACCAGGGAACAGCCAGGCAGAGGCTGCTCAGAGTATATCACAGTAGAATTTAGCTTCAGCATCTGGGAAGGCTCCTGAATTTCCCAGCCCAGAAAATGCAATGGAGGAGAGGTGTCTGAATCTTGGTCTTCTCACAAAGATGCTCAGATGTCAGACTTGCAACAAAACCAGAAAGCCAGAGGCAGGCAGCCCTGGTGGCTCAGTAGTTTAACACCGCCTTCAGCCCAGGGCCTGATCCTGGAGACCCAGGATCGAGTCCCACGTCAGGCTCCCTGCATGGAGCCTGCTTCTCCCTCTGCCTGTGTCTCTGCCTCTCTCTCTCTGTCTCTCTCCTGAATAAATAAATAAAATCTTAAAAAGAAAAAAAAAAAAAGAACTAAACATAGTTCTTAAAAAAAAAAAAAAAAAGGCCAGAAAGCCAGAGGGGAGAATTATCTTGAAGCTAAAGAAGGTTCAGGGTCCCTACTTGCATGAGTCCCTTCCAAGACCTTGGAGAGCTCAAGCCCTGTGTTCACATTTTTTTTCCTTAAAGAGGATATTCCCAAATTCTATCTGTTCAAACCCCACAAAACCTGGCCCTAGTCCTGCTAGATGGCCTGTAATTTGGAACCATTATTAAGTCAGGTGGGAGATAACACAAACACCCATTCTGATCAGATGACCAAGGCTCAGTGACAAACAGCAGGCAACTGTACTGTGGTGGCTTGACATGTACTTATTATTCATTTGAATAATAGCATGCATACCTACTCCACTTTCACCTTCATTATCCCAGTCAGTCCTTTTCCATAAGCCTGTGAGATGAGCAGGACAGGTCTTATCACCCCTGAGCTAAATGATGAAACTGACACTCGGAGAAGCTGAGAGACCTGTTCTGGTTTACAAGGCTGGCTGAGGACAGAGCAGAGCTAAGCCCAGAACTTTCTTATGACCAGCCCACAACTCTTAAGTTCTCCTATTCAGGACCAAACAGTCATTCCAAAACGTAGCATAAAGAGATTCATCCTTCTGCACCTAGAGAGGCACCAAGTGGCTGCTGAGAGCACAAGCACCTCCATCCTGGTCCTGGGAACAAAGAAAGCACAAGTGGACATAAATCACAAAACATAATTCAGAATCATAGGGATAAAAAAGCCCAAGAACTTTGGGAAGGAAGGGGTTTTTCCATTTTCCCCTAATTTCTCCCCAAACTCTGCATTCCTACTCATGACACAAGTCATTTTAATCAACTGTATTTATATTAAATATAAACACAAATACTCAACCAAAGTATAATTCAATTGGCAATAATTTCTCCATAACATCCAGACTGGAAACAACAACTGGAGTTTTAGGGCCTCAACACACACACACACACACACACACACACACACACACACACACACACACACCTCCCTGTAACAACTCTGGTCTCTCAAAGACACAACTATGTAGAAGAGGGAGATCCAGCCCCCACCTCAAATCTGAGCCAGATTTGTAGAGCTGGTTTGGCCTAGGGAGACAACCCCACCCAGGAAACCTCAGGACCAAACCTACCAACTAAAACAACAGAAAAAGAAAACAGCTGCAGAGTGGCCCTGCCAACCTACCTTCAGTTGTTCTATGCTAACAAGGCCACCTGGGACCCCAGGATAAATAGGACCAAGTCTCATGGCCACTTGAGATAACTGTGTGTATAGCACCTCCAGGGCAGGTTTTCAAACCTAGAGAGACTACCAAGGAGCAGTTGGGAGGAAACATGTTAAACTTTTTGACCTCTTCTCAGAAGGTGATGTCTACATTCTCAATCTGGATCACTGCAGGGTACTGAGTGAGATTCATTGCAAGGAAACTTTGACTATTCCTACAACTTTCTGGCTTTAAAAAGGGAGCCCACCTCTATGCTCCTGTAATTTGGAAAAATAGGCTTTCTTCCAGCCCCTTCCTGATTTATAGACTCTAATGAAGTCCTTTTTGTTTGTTTGTTTGTTTGTTTGTTTGTTTTTGATGAATAAATCTGAATCCTTTCGACTGTCTTCAGTGGTTTTTCCTCCCTCTGTCTAATCCCTCCTCATCACTCTGGAACCTCTGCAGAGAGGTGCAATATGCCTCTTTGGAGGTATCCCAGTCAGGATTTGGGGTTTGTGTTGCAGGATATAGAGAGGAATTCCCACTTAATTTAATTGAAACTGCCCTTTATCTTAGGGCTTATGTAGCAGCCAGCCTCCACAATGGCAACACAATGATTCTGCCTCTTGATACTCATACTCTTGAATAGTCCCCACCCTACCATGAACTGACCTGTCCATCTGATCAGTAGGATGTCATGGAAATGATGGAATGAGACTTCTGAGGCAAAGTCATAAAATCATAAAAGATATTATGGTTTCTGCCCTGTGCTCTGTCGTGGATCACTGGCCCTAGAAGAAGCCAGCTATCATGTGAAGATGCTCAAGCAACCCTATGGAGAAGTCCCTGTGGTGATGAATAGAGGCTTTCAGCTAACAGCTAACATGAACTTGCCACCAAGTGAGGGAACCAGCCTGGAAGTCAATCCTCCACCCAGATCATGCAAAGGCAGCCCTGATTGACATCTGATTCTGCCACCTTACAAGAGACAGAGCCAGACCACTCAGCTAAGCTAGAGATAGTAAATAGGTGCTGTTGTAAGGTAATAAGTTTAGGGATGATTTGTTACACAGCATTAGATAGCCAATCGTCAAAGCAAAATGGGACAAAGCATAGAGAACTGTGTGGAGCCCTGCCAGATTATTCTAATTCTTGTGGGATGGAATGCCCAGGCATCCATAGTCCCAGTGATGGGCACATGATCCCTGCTTGGCACATATGCCTCTCCATCTCCTCGTCTCCTCTCTAACTGGAGCTTTTAATTTTTTTTTTTATTTATTTATGATAGTCACAGAGAGAGAGAGAGGCAGAGACACAGGCAGAGGGAGAAGCAGGCTCCATGCACCGGAAGCCCGACGTGGGATTCGATCCCGGGTCTCCAGGATCGCGCCCCGGGCCAAAGGCAGGCGCCAAACCGCTGCGCCACCCAGGGATCCCTAACTGGAGCTTTTAGAAGTCTGAATTGAATTCAGAGGCAGCAAAAAGTAGAAAGACAAGGAGAAAAAGTTCAAGTGCTCTGTACTTCTGCCCAAAGAATATAAAAGAAAAAGGTCCTGGATGCTGGACTGTGAATTTCCTAACTATGTTTGATATGAATTCCTGTACCCTGCTCTTTTGAAAGGAGATGGAAGCAGCAGTTGCTTCCATCTACCTAAAAATAAGTGGAGGGGCACTTGGGTGGCTCGGTCAGTTAGGCAGCTGACTCTTGATTTCTGCTCAGATCATGATCTAATGGGTCATGAGATCAATGCTCAGCAAGGAGTCTTGAGATGCTCTCCCTCTGCCCCTCCTTGCTCTTGCACACACATGTGCTCCCACTCTCCCTCTCTCTCTCTCTCTCAAATAAGTAAATAAATTTTTTTAAACAAAATAAGAGATCAGGGGCACGTGGGTGGCTCAGTTGAGCAGCCAACTCTTGATTTCAGTTCAGGTCATGATGTCTGGGTCATGGGAGCAAGCCCTGCATCAGGCTCTGCCCTGAGCACAGAGTCTGCTTGGGTTCCATCCCTCTGCCCCTCCCTCAGCTCATGCACCCTCTAAGTAAGTAAATAAATAAATAAACAAATAAATAAAATCTTTAAAAATAAACGGATCAAACTCAATGTAGGATTTTGTGGAGCTGCATTTTTTTCCTCCTATATAATTAGAGGAAAGGGAAAGAAATTTGTCTGCATTTTCTACATATGTCACATATAAGAGAGATGGAGAAAACACGATGTGTCTTTCAGTAACTTATAGTCTACATAGATGATCATCTCTACTGGGAAGAAATATCACAATTAGCTAGGGGACAGGGCACATACCGTCACAACTTCTGAAATCATCTGGATAGACCTTCCAATTGGAGGATGAAATCAACTCTCCCGCAGACTTCTATGGAAAGAGCACTGCAAAACCCATATTTGCTGTCAGCTTCTTAAATCTGTTGCCATTGCCACATTTTATAAAATGCTAAATGTTGAAAGCCATCATACCATTTACTCACTGAGTCATCTAGGAAACTCATGGCAATAGGGAATGGCTTTGATTTTTTTTTTTAACAGAATCATTTTTTTCCTTTAAAAATACTGAGACAGGGGATCCCTAGGTGGCTCAGCAGTTTAGCGCCGCCTTCAGCCCAGGGCTTGATCCTGGAGACCAGGAATCGAGTCCCACGTTGGGCTCCCTGCATGGATTCGTCTTCTCCCTCTGCCTGTGTTTCTGCCTCTCTCTCTCTGTGTTCTCATGAATAAGTAAATAAAATCTTCAAAAAAAAAAAATACTGAGACATAATTTATGTACCATAAAATTCACCATTTAGAGTACAATTAAGTGAGTTTTAGTACAAGGTTGGGCAACCATCACCACTATCAAATTCCAGAACATTCTCATCACCCCCAAAAAACCCCAGTCTTGGGCAACCCTGGTGGCACAGTGGTTTAGTGCAGCCTGCAGCCCGGGGTGTGATCCTGGAGACCCGGGATGGAGTCCCACGTCAGACTCCCTCCCTGCATGGAGTCTGCTTCTCCCTCTGCCTGTGTCTCTGCCTCTCTCTCTCTGTGTGTCTCTCATGAATAAATAAATAAAAATCTTTAAAAAAAAAAAAAACCACAGTCTTGTTAGCAGGTTTTTTTTTTTTCTCCCATTCCTCCCTTCCCCCAGCCCCTGGCAGCCACTAATATAACTTCTATCTCAAAAGATCAAAAGATTTGTCTATTCCAGACATTTTATATAAATGGAATCATACAATATCTGATCTTTTGTGACTAATTTCTTTATCATAGCATAATGTTTTCAAGGTTCATCCATGTTATAAAGCAGGAATCAATATTTTATTTATTTTTGTTGCTCAACAAGTTTCCATAATATGGTTATACTACATTTTGTTTATCAATTCATCATTGATGGACACTTGGGTTGTTTGCATTGAGAATTTTTTGAGGAAACCTGATCTTGCTGTGTTCAAAGTGATTGTAAGTGATGTTTCCTGTCCCCCCATCTCGTCACCATAGAATTCCCCCAGGAAGTGGTGTACCCTGCTTTTGGAGTACAATCAAAAAGTAGATACTGTGTCCTGTAAGGATGAAATCAGCTACGTAGCTCTGGATTGACCACAAGGAGTCCCAGGTCATGGAATTCCCCCCTGGGTATTTTTCTTGGTATTTAGGCAATGTAACCATTATTGCAAGCCTACCCCAGTGAACTTGCTAGAATTCCGTTCCCATTGCAGCACTCCTGTTTCCAAGCTTAATGACAGCAGATGTGCTTTTACCTAGTCATATGAGCAGATGATCACCCTGTCCCAGCCTAGAGATGAAGTGGATGATCATTCTAGACTGGCCGCATGTGGAGTATGGAGTGGAAGCCGAGTTGTGTGTGAGCAGGAGAGCAAAGACGATGACTGGGAAGTAATCCTTTTAAGTAAAACCACATTACTCATCCATCAACCAGTCACTCTGTAAGTTTTCAGCCCTTCTGTGGTCCTAGCCCCTGTACCAACATTGTAGGGGATGGTACACATCACTTCCTCTTAACAACCTTAGGGCCTTGATAAGGAGGCTATGATGTATCACAGTACCCGATGATTGAAAAGCCCCAGCTTCTATAATATGGACAGGAAGGTTGCCTTGCATAGAGAAGATAATCAAATATTATCAAAACCAAAAGCTTGAACCTTTGAAGGGGAAAATAACTGCAAATAGGAGAAATGTAAAGAAATGACCCTCTAGTTCATTTATTAGAAAATTAGAAAATAGGAAAAGCTAGATGTGCACATTATTAAGCTAATAGCTCTTAGCTGCTGACTGGGACTATATACACTTTTCTCTTTTGCTAGCTACTCCCTGATAAGCTTTACTGTGGGAGCCTGCAAGACTGGAGTAGGGATATAGGACTTGCTTCTTCCTATTTGCTACCTGTTCCTGACAATGTCACACCAGCAATGTATCTGCACCTGACAGTGGCAGCTCCTTCCAGGGAGCAGCAGAATCACCTTCACCACACCCCCCCTCAGAGACACCAGGAGTGTTCAGGCAGCAGCCCCTCCTCAGAGGTTAAGTTTCAGTTCCACAGAACCCCTCGTCCAAGTTCTAAGTTTTAGCAGTTCCAACCTCTTTCCTTTTTCCCTCAGCCTTAGGGATACCTCCAACCATGGCTTGTGAGTCAGAGTTAGGAAGACTTTTCATTCAATAGATAAATCCAGTTTCCTAGTTACATGTCTTAGGAAGGAGTAAGCGTTGAATGAAACTGGGTGAACTTTGTATAGTCTACCACAGCATCTTTTTTTTTTTTTTTAAGATTTTATTTATTTATTCATGAGAGATACAGAGAGAAAGAGGCAGAGACACAGGCAGAGGGAGAAGCAGGCTCTACGCAGGGAGCCCAATGTGGGACTCGATCCCAGGACTCCAGGATCACGCCCTGGGCTGAAGGCAGATGCTCAACTGCAGAGGCACTCAGGCGTCCTTTTGTATTTTTTTATGTTTTATTTTTAAGTAGTGTCAACACCCAACTTGGGGCTTGAATTCACAACTCCAAGATTAAGAGTTGCATGTTTCACCAACTGTGCCAGCCAGGTGCCCCTACCACAGCATCTTTGCATATACACCCTGTTCATGAGTATCCAGATAACACTTCAGATTCCCAGATGTCATACTGGAAAGTCTGTTCCTCATAGCGTAAGTTGTGTGTGTGTGTGTGTGTGTGTGTGTGTGTGTGTGTGTGTGTGTCAGTTGTTAAGAGTACCTGGTAGAGTTCTTTACATATCCTTTTAATGTTTCTTTCAAAAGACTCCATTTCTGACCTATAGCTCATAGCAAAGGTCTTTAGACAAAGTGAAGGGATAGTAGAAACCAGGTGCTAATGACAAAACTGAATGACTGGTTAGTTTATTACAGTGACCAACCGAAGATCCCAGAATGAAGAGTAGATTTCTCCACTGGGTATAATATATAACTACTTCATTGTAATTCTGGGGTAATAATGTATCGTGATCTTTGACGCATTGACAAATCTCAAGGTCTTTCTAATCCATCTGGTAAAGTGTGTGTTACAATTGCTACTAGTTTAGCAGGGCTATTTTAAACATAGGAAAAAAAATTTTAATTAGTTTGTTGACAGTTACTGTATGTCTGTGTACCTGAACACTGTAGTTGCTTTTCATCCTGGAAGAAATCACTGAAGTTGCACTTTACCTGTTCCTAACTGACTCAAGAGAGAGTCTTCTCCTTTTTGTTGATACTTCTTCCCTTGTGATGAGCTTAATAAACACAACAGCTCTCACTATCAGTTGAGTCATAAAAACATGGAGATTGGGCAACCCGGGTGGCTCAGTGGTTTAGCGCCACCTTCAGCCCAGGGCCTGATCCTAGAGACCTGGGATGGAGTTCCACCTGGGGCTCCCTGCATGGAGCCTGCTTCTCCCTCTGCCTGTGTGTGTGTGTGTGTGTGTGTGTGTGTGTGTGTGTGTGCCTCTCATGAATAAATAAAATCTTAAAAAAAAAAAAAAAAAAAAAAACAGGGCAGCCCGGGTGGCACAGCGGTTTAGCGCCTGCCTTCAGCCCAGGGCCTGATCCTGGAGACTTGGGATCGAGTCCCGCGTTGGGCTCCCTGCGTGGAGCCTGCTTCCCCCTCACCTGTGTCTCTGCCTCTCTCTGTCTCTATGTCTATCATGAGTAAATAAATAAAATCTTTAAAAAATAAAATAAAATAAAATAAAAACATGGAGATTATCAAACATACCTAATTATTTCTAGCACCTTTCCTTTTATAAAGCAGGAAAGTAGACTTTTGTTAGCTACCAAAGAGCATCTAAAAAAGTGCCAAAGAAGATTCATGTGCAAAAAACACCTTGTTGGTTTTCTTTTGAATTTTAGGGGAATAATTATCAGAGGAGATTGAGACCTCATTTTAATGGAAGCATAGGTACTTGAGAAAAAGGTAGTTGGAGCTTGGATAGCTGGATACTAAAAGTAACAATGTAGTATTTTAAAATAAACAGCAAAAAGTATCATCATTATCATCATCATCATCATCGTGTAATATACTCTTTCAGAAGTGAGAAACTTTTTTTAAGATTTTATATATTTGCAGGGCACTTGGGTGGCTCAGTCAGTTAAGGGTCTGACTTTGGCTTGGGTCGTAGTCCCAAAAATCAATGGGCTTCTGAGGAGGAATATTCAGTTGACGTAAGTGATCTGTGCTTTCTAGGCAAATAACACAGATGGTAAATAATTTCTTACTACCTTTGGTGAGAAGCAGATCAATTTTGAACAACACATCTTCTCTTTGTCACTCATAATTTATCTTGCTTATTCATTTTAATATTCATACGTATGTATATATATTTATTTAAACATATACAGTTATGTATAAAGTTAAATGACAATCTTAGCTTTAAAATATAACTTAAAAATAATTATATTCTCATAATCTTAAATATTTTCTGGAAGCAATGATAATTTGTCTAACCCATAAAACCAGTATCAAAAAATTGTAGAGTTTAAATTAATTAAGCTTTCCAAACAAAACAAAACAAAACAAAACAAAACAAAAAAACCCTGAATCTTGCTAAGATGAGATGTACATTATATTATACCCCACACTGTGATAAAATGAAGATGAAGTCATAGCACTGTTTTTAAACCAAAATTATCTAATCGGTCTTTTCTTTAAAAAGATTTTATTTAGGGATCCCTGGGTGGCGCAGCGGTTTGGCGCCTGCCTTTGGCCCAGGGCGCGGTCCTGGAGACCCGGGATCGAGTCCCACGTCGGGCTCCCGGTGCATGGAGACTGCTTCTCCCTCTGCCTGTGTCTCTGCCTCTCTCTCTCTCTCTGTGACTATCATAAATAAATAAAAATTTAAAATAAAAATAAAAAAATAAATAAAAATAAAAAGATTTTATTTATTTAACAGAGAGAGAGAGAGCATGCAAGAGAACAAGAAAGGGGAGCAATAGAGGGAGAGGGAGAAGCAGGCTTTCTCCTGAGCAGGGTCCCAATGCTGGGCTCCATCCCAGGACCCTGGGATCATGACCTGAGCTGAAGGCAGATGTTTAACTGACTGAGCCACCCAAGCACCCAATATCAGATTAGTCTTATTTGTTCAAGGATTCACCTCTCCTAAGAGTATTGGTGAATGTGGATCCAAATATAATTCTGCGTCCATTTGTCAAATATTAAAAATGCTTCTGGCAGTTCATCTTAGTACTTTTTTACAACTGTGTATTGACTATATTTTCTTATTTTCTGTAGTCATATTCAAAATATTTTGGCATTTGAGGCCTTGATCCTGGACAGACTGGCCCTCTCAAGGCTAGTAATTCCTAGAAAGCAAACATTCCTCTATAAGAATGTCTTTGATATACAAACCAACCAGGTCAGAGCCTGACATCTCTTATCAAATTCTCACATACCATATCAGTATTTACCCAGTCCAAAACCACCTCAGGGCTAGGTATCAGACAACTAGGGACTGACTATAGCCCCAAGCTCACCAAAATTACTCAAACCCCCTGATGCTAAGTTTACTCAATATATCTACCCTGCCTTACCCATTCCTTCTTATGAAAACCAGGATAAAGGCTTTGGGTCATACTCCCTGCTTCTTCTGTCTGTCCTGGTCAAATCTGGTCAGTCCTGGTGCTTCCTCATGTAGCCCTGTATGGCATGCCTAGCCTCGTTTCTAGAGATCTGTGAGTGTGAACTTCTCATGACAATTGTTTCCATGTCTACATGACTTACCATACCTGATTTTTAAAAAATCCTGGCTTTCGGGCACCTGGCTGGCTCTGTCAGTAGAGCCTGTGGCTCTTGATCTCAGGGTTGTGAGTCCAAGCCCCACTTTGGGTATAGAGATTACTTAAAAATAAAAATTTTTTAAAAGATTTTATTTATTCATTCATGAGGCACAGAGAGAGAGAGGAGTGAGAGAGAGAGGGAGGCAGAGACACAGACAGAGGGAGAAGCAGGCTCCATGCAGGGAGCCCGATGTGGGACTCGATCCCGGGACTCCAGGATCACGCCTCGGGACGAAGGCAGGCGCTAAACCTCTGAGCTACCCAGGGATCCCCTTAAAAATAAAATTAAAAAAAAAATCCCAGATTCATTTTTAGAACAGACTGCTAATTGTTCGCTCGATGCCTACTTGCATTTCTTTTACTTCTCCTGAGATGCCCCATAACAAGTACAAGTCACAGATTCATGTGATCTGTTAACCCAGTTTCCCTCAACAAAGCCAATCACAGATACACAGAGAGATCATCATATGTGGCCAGTTACTTTACCTGTGTGGGGAAGCGCAAAAGTTTTCCTCACATCTAGATGCACAGAGAAGAATCACAAGTTCCAGTGCTCCAACTGTAGCCACGGGTCAGACACAAATACAGACACCAACACATGTGCCTACAGTAAACAAAAAACAAAAATAAACCTCTGTAGGTAAACACCTCTGACAGTGAAGAACTGGACCAGCAGAAGATATGGGCCATTTCTTTCTCCCCATCCACCCTTTCATGGTTCCTTCCCATGGAATTCCTTACACAAAGAAATGTTGACAGAAGCCTGCAAGTCTGGGTCTGGACTTCTCCTTTGGAAACTTCACAGACTTCCCAGCACAACAGTGGTACCACAGAGCCTTCCCCAGGCTCCCAGCCTTTAAGCTAGAAGATAAGCATTTAACTTCCAACTTTGTCTAACAGGTCTTCTCTCTGGTCAGTGCTTCTGGGGCCCAAACTAGGCCTTTTGAAAGGCAGCCCCAGGTCCTAGCAGTTTCTAACAGGCAGACAGGCATGATTTAGAGAACCACATTTTCTGTTTCTAATTTTTGAAAGACAAAGACATTTTATCCACAGCAGGTAGGTATCACCAGATTTTGACACATAGGAGCTCTGAAAATGATCCAAATTTGCCATATCTTGGCAAAAATTCACTGGTTGAAGCAATCGGAAGGTCAGGGAAGTACAAAGTATCTTAAATTTATGTTTTCTATGAGGTTCTTGATCTAAGGACTGCTCTGTTTCAGGGAGTCCTTGTGAGGGGGCAGGACCTCTGAAACTGTGAAATTGTTAAAATTACAATAATAGTCAATTGTCCATTAAATGAAGTTATATTCCTCAGCTAATCAGCTGAGCTAGTTTGACCTATTAGGACACATTCTCAGATGATATTAAAACATCACATCTCTGCCTTGTTTCCAAGTTTTATATCATTTTCCCTGAACAAAGTTTCATTTCTGGAAAGTAGAAGCAACAACCACAAGTAAAAGCAACTTCAAGTACTAGATTTTCTGATTCCTAAGAAATGAGAAATTACCGGATAATTTTAAAATACAGTCAGATGTTGAAAGTGTTAGTGAGCTTTGAATTCAACATTCTGTTGCTAAAAACCTATTGTACAGAAGTATTCAGAGATGCGTGTGCCCAAAGCTTCATGCCAGATGTTTGTCTCAGTGCCCTTGATCACAGAGACCTGGAAACAGTCCAACAGGTTCATTAATGGCGTGTAGTAGAAGCTTTGATTCCTTCAACAGGCTGCGAATTTCCTCACTCCACTCCTTACCAGTCATGTGCTGGGAACTCCTAGCCTGTCCCTCCTGAGTCTGTAAAATTAGGACTAACAACAATGCTCAGGGCTGGATTCCCCGATAGCAGATGTGTTTAGGAACTAGTAAATCAGGGGCACCAAAGAAAATGTTTTTGTGGGGATCCCTGGGTGGCTCAGCAGTTTAGCACCTGCCTTTGGCCCAGGGCATGATCCTGGAGTCCAGGGGATCAAGCCTGCTTCACCCGCACCACCCCCCAACCCCGTGTGTCTCTCATGAATAAATAAATAAAATCTTTAAAAAAGAAAATGCTTTTGAAGGAATCTAATGTTTGATAGAAAAAAATAGAATAAAGTATACTTTCTTATGCTTATTTTATGCTTTTTGTTTGTTTTGGGTTTTAGTTTATGAAGAGCAAGGTACCACCATGATCTTGTTAGGAGAGAAAACTTTACCTCTATCCTCTTAAATTTAAAGCTTGGGACCTGTGAATTAAACTGACAGGAGAGATTAGCAAGAGAAAAGATCTTCATCACGTATGTATGGGAGTTCACAGAGCAGTATTATTCAAAGGGGCAATTAGAAATTGGGGCTTACATACTATCCTAAGAGGTGAAGCCGGGGAGAGGGAGAAGGATGGGAAAAATAAATGGGACCTTAAGGGAATGAATGGGGAGACAGGATAGTTTTGTGACAGTGTGTTTGGGCATGGTGCTGACTTCTCTGGGAAGATTAGAGTGGCTCCTGGGGAGAAGATTTATGACATTTGAGTTCTTTTGGGAGGCTCTGCATTTACGTAGATAAGGGATTTCAGGAACTCAAAATATTTCCATTCCAACTAGAAATAATTTTTATACCATGGTCACAGAGACTTAAAAGAGGACTCTTTCAATCTTCTCCTAACCCTGAGTACTCTTTGTCAATGCTCAGTGTTACACGGATAAGCTACTTGAGAATTTGGGAATGAAGGAAGTAGGATTGCTCCAGATGGTGAATTGTAAACCCTGTGACTAATGGATCAGAGAGTAGATATGCAAAGTCAATGAAAGAGGCTCAGCTGCCCAGCAGGGCTTGACTGCAACCTGATTAAATGTATTAACATATCTAAAGAGACTATGTCATTTAGAGCGAGGGTTGAATTTTCCCCTCCCAAGTAATTACTCTCCCAACTGCTGGCCTTTAAAGCAGACCTCCCATAACTGTTTATGAGTTTGAACTAAGATGGCAATGAACAATAACCCCATTTATTGACCACCAGATGCCAGATGTTGGGCTAAACATCTTTAACACATTATATTTGGGTCTCACAATAGTCTGAAGCCCAAGTATTATTAACCCATTTAACAAATATTTTAATTTTTTTTTATTATTTATTTATGATAGTCATACAGAGAGAGAGAGAGGCAGAGACAAGGCAGAGACATAGGCAGAGGGAGAAGCAGGCTCCATGCACCGGGAGCCTGACGTGGGATTCGATCCCGGGTCTCCAGGATAGCGCCCTGGGCCAAAGGCAGGCGCCAAACCGCTGCGCCACAGGGATCCCACCCATTTAACAAATATTAAGAGAGATGCATGTGTTGTCCAGGAGACAGCCCAGGCTATCAGGTGGTAAAGCTAAGACCAAACCTTAGAATCCAAGCTCCTGCCCTCCATGCTGCTATAGTCAGGCTCCACTCTTTCCCCTGGTATCCTTCCCCTGGACTTTGAGTGGTTGGCTAAAATTCCCCCTACCCAAACTTTTGCTTATTTTGACAGTGGGCCAAAGAAATGGAAAATAAATCCAGCTCTACTGCCTCCCATTTGGGTGACCCACAAAAACATAAATCCTGCAGGGTCTTCACCCAAGATGTCTAAAATCTAGGAGGTGTTGAACCCAAACACCACAGTGGAGGAGAAGCAGGTAGTCCCTGTCTGAGCCCTGGTTCTGCAAATGATTACCTGCATAATATGGGAGAAGTTGCTAAGCCTCTTTGGACCTAATTTTCTCATTTTAAAATGAGAGCAGTAGACCAGATCATGTCTTAGCACTACCATCCTGGGATTCTGTAGTTCAATAAAAAGGGTAAAAAGCTCCATGGGGGTTGAGGTTGCAAGAAAAGAGACTGAGTCCTCACTAAAGTGTTTTCAATTCTAATGATAAAGCTATTTTTAGATTTGATCTGATTCCCTCATGCATGTTGCATGTTACAGGATGGTTTTCTGGGTCAACCTTTCTCAGATAAACTGTCATCTAATCCATGACAAGGACATTTGTCCCTATAGAATAACAACTTTGCCCACACTAGCATTGGCTATTTTGAAATTGCTTTGCCCCAATTATCTGAATGGCCTTCAAAGAACTGTGATGTGGGGGCTCCACATGTCTTTGTTTGAAAGGGGTATCTTGGGTGGCTCAGTGGTTGAGTGTCTGCCTTTGGCTCAGGTAAGGATGGAGTCCCCCTTCTCCCTTTACCTCCCCCTGCCCCATCGGGCTTTCCACAGGGAGTCTGCTTCTGTCTCTCCGTCTCTCCCTCTCTATGTCTCTCATGAATAAATAAATTAAAATCTTAAAAAAAAAAAAAAAAAAAAAGAGGGCAGCCCGGGTGGCTCAGCGGTTTAGTGCTGCCTTCAGTCCAGGGCCTGATCCTGGACACCCGTGATCAAGTCCCACGTCGGGCTCCCTGCATGGAGCCTGCTTCTCCCTCTGCCTGTGTCTCTCATGAATAAATAAATAAAATCTTAAAAAAAAAGAAAAAAGAAAGAAAGAAAGGGGTATCTTGGAGTTTTGTCTGTCATACATAGAGTCTCATGCATTCATTCATTCAGTAATTTATTTTTCTGGAGAGCCCACTCTGTACTAGGAACTTAGAATATGATGTGAGCAATAATAGGATCTCTACCACCAAGAAGCTTCCACTGGGGGAGAAGACATTAATTAAATAAGCCTACAAATTTTCATTATGACTGTAAGAAGTGCTACAAAGAACAATTGCAAGGTGCCCTGAGAACTTAAGATTGGAAGCTCAGAGAAGGTCCTTAGGGAGGTGCTATTTGAACTGAGTTCTGAAAGATGAGAATAATTAAATAGGTGCCAAGGAAAGGAAAAGTATTCCTAGAAGAGGAAAAAGTATAGACAGAAGTCTATAAAAGGAAGAAACATGGGACTAAAAGAAAACTAATGCAGTTGAGCACAGAGATCAAGGGACATGTCAGGGTGGAAAATCTTTTCCTAAAAAAAAAAAAAGGGGGGGATCCCTGGGTGGCTCAAGTGGTTTAGCATCTGCCTTCGGCCCAGGGTGTGATCCTGGAGTACCAGGATCAAGTCCCACATCGGGCTTCCTGCATGGAGCCTCCCCACCCCTCTCATGAATAAATAAATAAAGTCTTTTAAAAAAAGAAAAAAAAAAGAAAGAAAATCTTTTCCTCTACCATCTTAGGTTCAGTACTAGGGGCTTGTGAATTAAATTAACAAAAGAAAGCTTAACAGAATAAATTATTCATATATATATATATATATATATATATGGGAGCTTACAAAAGAAGTAGCTTGATTAATGATTAAAGTCAGAGGCTCATAAACCTCATTTAGTAGAGAAAAGAGTTAGAGAGAAGGCCTCTATGAGAGAACAATAAGTTTCTTTAGAAGAAACAAGTGGATTTCTGGAAGAACAAATGGGAAATAAGGAAGTTTTTGATAATATCCATGCATTTACAAGTAGGCTTTCTGACTTCTTCATGGTCATAAAACTCCCCTAGAGAGGGAGTTCATGGTAGGTTAACTCTGGATCTCCTTCCTAGGAACAAAAGCCACCCTGAAAAGGGAATTTGTGGCATCTCCATCTCCCAAAAGTTTCTTCATGTAGTCAGATAAGGCAAGCTCTAA